GGTCCCCCTCTCTTCCACTACGGAGGGTAGGCAAGTATAGAGTTGCAATTTAAAAGATCTCGTAAAGGAGGGTCGATTACTATCTACCGAAGAGACTGGTCGCTGTTTCTCTCTCCATTTAAGTTCTACAATACTCTTGAGTACCGAAAATTCGTTATCCCTTACGCCTCTACGTCTATTATTCTAAGATAGAATAATTAACGACCGGCGCACTCTGCTTATTGGCCGGACTTCAGCCAGAAGAAGTTGGGCTTGTAGATCCTCCTGAGAGGAACCGCTGGGTGCTTCGAGACTACAACTCCTCCAGGAAGTAAGGAGCAAGCTGACACCTGGTAGCAGAGCGTGGTTTCCTCGACACTTGCCGCAAAGCGTGATAAGGGGACAAAAGCAAAACCTGAAAATTAAGTTGCTGCCCTGTTAGAAATCTGCAGGAATCAAACGTTCTTCATCAAGGATAACTATTTCGTCTCCATTTTAACTCCTCCTAACTGATAATTATTTCGTCTCCGTTTTAACTCCTCCTAACACATTACAATTGGGTACCAGTGATTCCTGGTAGCAGAGATTTTATAAAATAAAAAAATTTGCTTAACCAGATTGTGACTGGTAATATTTTCTTTCAGAGCCTCAACTAAACATCACAGACTCCGGTATTCTCAGTAGAGAACCTAGACTGCCCATAGATAAATTGTTCAATGAAAAGTATTATAAAAAAATGCCGCAATTAACTGTCTCCCGCCTAAACAATTAAAATCCGTAAATATATAGGGGAGTTGTTCGCCTCTGTCCCCACCTTGTCAACGGATAGCCCATGGGAGATTCTAAATTTTATCGAAAAAAGTATATTGATATAAACCGAACTGCCCCCCGAATGGTTCAGCGAATTATTGAGAAAAGTTGCCGACAAACAAAATAATCCAGTACTTTTACAATTCCTGAACGATATAGAAGCTCGTGATTTCACATTCTCCGAATTAAATGATATAATATTGCGTACTAAGAAATAAAAAGCAAGACTAGTCTTTGAGGGCGTATTCTTCGTCAATTATCAAGGCCGCAAACATCCTATCAGATTACATAGAAAGCGATGTACATAGTCGACAATGATTCAAGGAGTTAACACAGAGGGCACATTTCTTTTGTACAATTATGGTCTAGTTGTATCAAGTACTTTCGGAAGTAGAAAGATTTGAAATCTCGGCGAAGTCCGAAAATCTGGGCGAAAAATCATGTTTAAAGTGGGGCAATACAATTTTTCTAAGTGGCGAAATTAAGTATATCGCCAATAATTATTACGAGCTCGAGATTCGAATAAAAAATACAATGACGGTAATTATTATGGGACAATTTTTTTTTTAAAAAGGAAATAATTTTAATTGCAGGAATAATCCTGGAGATCAGAAACATTGCGAAAGTCCAAACAATCTAAGGCCGGATTTACAGGGACAAAAGGCAACGTGATTACCGCCCCACGACCAAAAACATTGTGGACGGCAGGATTACCTGGATAAATTACGGACAAAATAGGAATCAAGTCCTAGAACCAAGCGTGACAGACCAATTACCCTCAGTAGAAATTACAAACTAATAAAAATATACCCAAACTAAAGCCAACGGAGCGAGTCCCCTCCAAAAAATTGTCACGAAAAACCGCCACCATACAGTTCCCATTAAGGACAAAATCAGTGGCGAAATCGCACACGACTCCCTGCCAAAATAGCAAATTAAAAAACTAATCAAGAGGGTCTATAACAATAATTCCGCCACGCCTGAGCATTTAAAAGCCCACCAAATAAAGAAATTGGTAGGAACAATAAATTATGTCACTATATATTTTTTTTAATCGGTCATTTTCAGCCCTTACTGTCACCGGATCATCAATTTCTTGCATATGTTCCAGAATCCATAAAAACCTGTCCACAAATAGAATCGCTCAAACCGAAAGAAAGTTCAATAAATTCATCGTCGCAAACGCGTGAAATGAAGCGTTTTCGCGTAAAATTCATTACGGATTAGGATAAATTACGGACAAAATAGGAATCAAGTCCCCACCCGGCCCAGAATCAAGCGTGACCGACCAATTACCCTCAGTAGAAATTACAAACTAATAAAAATATACCCAAACGAAAGCCAACGGAGCGAGTCCCCTCCAAAAAATTGTCACGAAAAACTGCCACCATACAGTTCCCATTAAGGACAAAATCAGTCGCGAAATCCACACGACTCCCTGCCAAAATAGCAAATTAAAAAACTAATCAAGAGGGTCTATAACAATAAATCCGCCACGCCTGAGCATTTAAAAGCCCACCAAATAAAGAAATTGGTAGCAACAATAAATTATGTCACTATATATATTTTTTTTAATCGGTCATTTTCAGCCCTTATTGTCACCGGATCATCAATTTCTTGCATATGTTCCAGAATCCATAAAAACCTGTCCACAAATAGAATCGCTCAAACCGAAAGAAAATTCAATAAATTCATCGTCGCAAACGCGTAAAATGAAGCGTTTTCCCGCAAAATTCATTTGAACATCAAAATTAATAAGTTAACATGGCCACAACAATTTTGTGTCCTTAAAAATCTAACGTGGGACGTAATATTAGGCCTGGACTTTGTATCTAAATCACAAATGGTAATAGACCCCACAAGCAGCTCGATACATTTTAAATTTGATCTCGACAAGAGCATTACTCTCTCAACCCACGAGAACATTGTTCCTCAATTCGGTTGATGGGTTAAAATGTAGATTCAAAAACACCCTCATCGATAAACTCGGCTTAAGCAATTTGATGGCGTATAACCTTAAGTTAGCTGCCGTTACTAATGACGACGCGCGAACACTCCAGAGTATGTTACAGAATAGGTCCATTTAGTTATGCAATTCTTAAAAAATAGAAAAATTATTAAACGATAATGTCATTGAGAGGGTAGAGACGCACTTCATGTCCCCCTGTTTTCTAGTCCCGAGACACACGAATAATGGGGATCCCAAAGAATTCAATAGATTATCGAGAAATAAACAAAAAAAACTTATTTCTCCCATCATATCCAGGGGGCAAATTTTAACAAAAAAAATAGTCAAAAAGTGACAGCAAGTTTTCATGTTCCGTGGGGAACATATGCTTTTAAAACAATCCACTTTGGACTTGCCATAGGAGGGAAAGTTTTATCACATTTAATGGAGAAGATTTTGGACGATCTTCTATTTAAGTTCGTATTTTTCTATTTTAACGATATGGTAATTTACTCCCCAAATGTTGAGGACCACATAAAACATTTAAATGTCGTTTTTAACAGACTGTCCAAAGCAGGTTTGACCATTAACCCTGCAAAACTCCGACTAGCAACAACGCGGATAGAATTTTTGGGACAATTTCTCAGGGCAAAGTAAAGATCTCCCCGACGCTTATCCAACCGGTTCTCGATATCCCCCGGTGAAAAACACCCGTCAGGTAGCCCGTTTATAGGAACGATAAATTTCTTTAGTAAATTCATCCCTGATTTCGGCCGAATTTCCGACCCACTTAATGTGCTTAGGAAGAAACACCCTAAATTTAATTGGACGGAAGAACACGAAAAATCATGGTGTGCCCTTCGTCGCGCTATCATTTCCCCACCTATCCTGAAAACGCCCGACTTTACCACCATTGGCCATAACATTTGCATTCGAGAAGTACCGAATATACTTTGAAGCCGATGAACTTGATCTTTATACGGATAACATTGCCCTAAAAAATGTTATTAAAATACGGGATAAAAATTTCAGATATGCCCGATTTACAATTAAAATCGTTGGGTTTAAATTCAAAAGATTTCATATACTGAGGAAATGTAACACTATCATAGACTATTTATTTCATAATCCTCCCGAGACAATCGGCAACAGCAATAACATAACGCCTTTAAGGCGGTCATCAAGGGATATATATATAACTTTTCATAAAATCGCGTCGTTATTCTATAAATTAAACTTATCTAAAGGCGATGAAACAATCAGTTATAGAATGCTCAAATTGCCAAGGAACAAAAATATGTCATCAAAACCAAACGGCGAGATGTCGCGTTATATGGCACAAAAACCTCGCGAAACAGTTTACATTGATATAGCGGGACCCCTTCCACCGAATAACGGCCATAAGTGCATCTTAACTACTGTAGACAGAATGTCGCGTTACTCATTCATCTTTCCCATCCTCGAGTATACATAAATTATATTGGGAATATAATTTTTCGTTCGACCTAAAATGCGAATTTTAACGGGGATAAATATAAGACCTAGAGGATTTGAATTGAAACAGTTTATCGATTTGTAATTGCAAGAGAGCGATAATATTGTGAAGTGGGTGTCACGGGTAGTGCAAATGACCGCCCGGAGTTGTAACAGGTCTCCTGACAGTTTCAGGAATACGGGCCGAAATATTGACGCCGGTTATGGGAATGTTGAAAAACGGAATGGACGGAACCGTGTGTCCTGCGAGGACCAACGGACCTACTCCCATGGAAAGATCTCTCTTCAATTTTCCTAATTAAACGATATGATACAGCGATAAAGCCGTTGCTTCGGTGAACAAATAATATAAAATCACGGTTCGGGTAAAGAAATAAATCGGTAGAAGGTCTTAGTGCCGGTCCGATACACGCCAACCTTGGATTAACATCATTGCTATATTTCTGAATATAAAAGAAGCCAATAAACCCATGTGCCATGAGGTACCCCTTGCATTCGGACGGGCATCACTTTCGATCACCAATACCTCTCGTCAACCCTCCTGCCCTCCATCCCCTTATCTTTTCTAACAACCAGGTTGTGGGCTTTTAACAATCGGATGGGCATATTGTTCATAATTGTCCGTCATTCGCTTGTCACACACAATACTGTAAAAAATTAAACTGTTCGAGTTCTGGCCGGCGAAATATTGCATAACCAGGATATATAGAAATTTATCATATTTACATATTTCGGAATTTAATTGTAAGTTTTTTCAAATTTGTTTCAGAGGGCGACACTCGCTGAAAAAGAAGTTTCCGCTTTAAAAGAACAATTAGCTGTAGCGAATCAAAACCAAAGCGATACAAAGATGGCGACTGTCACCCAAGGAACCGAAGAAATAATGAGCCGTTCTAATATTGAGCTAGAACTCTCGGCTAAAGATAAAGAGGTAAGCCCAACTTATTACGTTGTCACGTTAATGGTTAAACCCTATGCACCCGGGGCTAATCCTGCGTTTTCCTCAACAACTCCCAAATAACACCTGAGGGAGAATTTCTTCTTACTAATACACATGGTTAATTTGTCAAAGTTCAGCGCTCTTTTGATTATATGAATCGATTATTATACCTAGAAAAATGTTATATTTATATTTGTATCGCCTTTTTAAAGACTGACAAGCCGGCTGTTCGATTTCTTTCTGGGATTCTTATCGGAGATGGTGTCTCTTTCTAGCGTGTTCCCAATTGCGTGATCTGCACATAACCTCACCTTAATTTATGCCCGGCCACTTCTTATATTTACATAATACTACTCCGTGACTCCCCTAATGTAGCCAATTGGTAACTTTATCGAATCTCAGTCGAATCACCGACGGGGTACTAACAATCGATATCCTACAAGCTTCGTCTGGTGGATTTTTCACACGAAAACGATTAGGGTTCAGGGGGAAAAACGAAAATCTCTTTTGGATAAGGCCCGGTTCTTTATTGGGGCGCGCACTTCCGACCAAAGGCGCCTTCCCGATAACGATCGTCACTTTTATGCTCCTAGATTTTTGTAGGAGCCGTATTACCGGTTTTTATGATAGACAAATATTTAACCAGCCTGTATTTTTTTAAAGGTTTTAAATTCGGTTCCACTATCTGACATCTTCTGCATTAGGTGCTACATTCTTTCTCTCTTTCTTTCAGTAGGAGAATAACAGTTAAGAAATCCGTCTGGCCCCGCGACCGAAGCTCGTGAAATCTCTTTGTAAGTATGAGGGTCAAGTTGTCGGGTTAGGATTTTTTTGGTCCGGAGTGAAATAAGATTCGATTCAATTTCATGTCAAGTGTAAGTGGTATCAAAGTCGATATGCCTGATCCCCCTCACACGTACGTTGCGTAATAAAGATTCTCGACTGAGATCAATATGGAAATTTTAATGGGGTTGGCTTTGTTTCATTGACCACCCCACCTCCTTGGCACACCCTCGCCCTTTTTAACCCTTCCCGAGCCTTATGAATATATCCTCACCACTCGTTCTTTCCCACTGTATAAATGTAAAATGCGTCTGGCTTTTTCTCCAGACGAAGGAGGACGACGTTTTTCCTTTTTTTTTTGGCACGATGCAATCCCATAGGAACAGTGCGAGGCGGTGGTGGGTCGGAGGTGGATGTCCTTTATTCGAACTGTATAATGAAGGGGACATTAAGTTGAAGGATACGCTTCAATGTCCGTCCGACTATGAGAAAGAATGGGAACAATTGAAGCTGGCAAGACATACGTGGCCGGCCGAGCGGACACTGTTCCAAACGTTGCTCTCCAGTTTTAGGCAAAGAATCGACATAATTTATACACATTACTCTCGCGGGAACAATTGAACGATGACACATAGCTAACAATTGAACCAAGAACACAACGAGTCGAAATTATTAGGCAATGGCCGAACGGAAGTCTATAGTTTAGGGCTCAATTAGTGTTTTTCCGAGTGGCGGACAATAGAAGAGCAAGTGAGATGTGACGCGACCGGTTCTTCTCTGAAATTCGATCTTGTCCTTTCCGACGTGTAATTATATTTCCAATATGCCAGACGGACATTTTACTTAGATTGTTTCCACCGCTTATTAACTCGTTTGCACCCGTTTCGAGGGTATAAATTATGCGCAATAAAACTGTAATTAGCTATAACGAATCGGTACCCGATTTTCTAACTGGATCTCGGATTAAATCCGGACCCCCCTTCACTCCGCTCACTCTCTCTCTCTCTCTCTCTCTCTCTCTCTCTCTCTCTCTCTCTCTCTCTCTCNCACACACACACACACACACACACACACACACACACACACACGCACACACACACGCACGCACGCACGCACGCATAGGCATGCAACACCACATTCTACACCATTTTCACAAAACAACGATATGACGGGGCAATCTCGGTGGCCTGATAAGACGTGTCGTATAATATAAGGATTAGATGCCATTCTAATGTCGATTTACGACAGGTTAAGAACATACAGGCGCCCCTTGTGTACCTAACAACTATACAATTGATAAGAACCATACGGATCACAATAAACTCAGTATCGTTATCAACAATTTAAATTTATTCGCCTCGATAAAACCTGTTTGCTTTACACAAAATAGGCGTCACTCCGTTCTCGATTCTTCCGGCGGTCCTCACGCATCTAACAATTTATTTCGATGGTAGGGGAAGTATTACATTTAACACGAAAATAGAACACAGAGGAGAGCAGATTTTAAAACTAAACACTCTTACAATTTCTTATGTGTCAACAGGGCAAAATCACATAGGAGTTTTAGTTGCATTTCATCTGATATTTAAACTAATTGTAAGAGTTAAATTATGATATACTTTATTAAAGGTGCCTATGGCCACTGTTCATCATGACTTGCAGAGGATCTCGATAATTACAAAAAAGAGATATTTGTAGAGAAAAATACAATAAGTTAGTGTGATATCTATCAAACAGTAACAACATCGATAACCCCATTCGAATTTGACCAGAAAAATTTACATTTCATAAATCAGTACACAAATAGATGGATAATAAACATATAAATAATTGTAAAATAACAATATTATTAAGTTAAAATATACATCTGTCTATGATTCCAGTTTGTGCAGGTGTTTCATGTTTTAATACAATCTGCGCAATTTGTTAAGATTTTTTTTATATTCTTCATGTGGTTAAAACAACCTCTGGCCAGTTTATTGTAGTTCATAGATTGTCTGAATTTTAAATATAGCGAGAAACGAATTTGCATCTAATATATATAATTTTATTAATTTCAAATCCTATTTCCAAGTTAAGAGTTCGATGCAAAAGGGGTTGTTAGTATTCCTCCGATGGCGAGCGAGCCCCTTCCTTGATGGGAAGCGAGGGAGACAACCATGACTAATGGAAAATGTATCTAATCAGTCCTATTGTCTATTTTACGTTTTACTTGAATGAAGGGGGGGGATATGCAAAACGTGGAAGCACAAATGCCACAAGGCGGCCCAAGTTCAAATCGATATCTCTTAATCCGCATCCTTCAATTATTTCCGTGTGCCCGGTCTAGACGGATGTCTTGGGCGTTTTATCCGATTAATTGAAGCCAATATGCGACTTCTTTTTTTTTTCACTTGACTCGACTACGAGTTACGTGCCAAGTAAGCGTGAGGAGGTGTCAGACGCCAAACACGAATATGTACATTTTCTCATCCACTATCTCTTAAACCATATAAGAAATCGATTATCAGACTATTGTGAAAAAGGTTTTACAGACAGGTTTTTGAAGAAAAAAACCTAATAAGGACAATATTTTTTGCCAATGTGGAAATGTATTTAAAAAAAAATATGCACTGCAAAATATTTTTCACATTTTGGTCATACTCTCTGCAAACATATGCTTCATAAGTTTTTATTAAAACGTGTTTTATATTTTCATAGTATTTAAATCGGCTCTGATTGATACTTTCATAATCGAATACTGTAATACAAAATTTATGTTTACAAACCCGTTTCACGAAACGAAGAGTTTCACAGCTCTTCACATATGATTGATGACGAACACGTTTCTCCGGGTGTTTTTCTAATTCTTCATACGCGGTTTGGCTTAACGCCATCTTCATTGACAGGCAACAATAACCGAGTCCGGGCAAGTTCGTCCAATCGCAGACTGCGAACAAAACTGGCTCAACTACTTTGAAAAATGAATTTCCTCTCGATTCTTGACGCTGTCCTTCTCTAATTGATGTTGCACCATGTAAAACAAAAACGCTTTTCAAACTTATTTCAACTTGGAATTTGTATTTAAAATATTCAGTTAGACGGTAGACACGAAAAGCTGTCTTAATCGCTACAATAAACAAGAAAGCGTGAAGTGAAACTTGCCTTATTGACGATGTGCACACGAGCAGGTTTTGTGGTTCGTCTTCCATACAAATAGTTCCTGTACATCGCACATAAGTAACAGACCATTTATACAAATAAAAAACGTAGACGAATTTGATATTTTGATTTTTATTCATTATTGTTAACATAATAATAAGTTTAATAACATTACGTAAGGTGGCCATAAACATTTGCTCCGTAGGATACATAAAATTAAATGTATATAGGTTAATAAATACAAGGAATATTCTAAGTTCAAGAAGTCGCAAGTACAAACTTTTTAAAAAAGTAGGGTTTTTTACGGTTGTCTTATTTGAGCTCTAATAATTTTTTCGAACTATTGAAATCCGCACATCAATCTGCAAGAATTTGACCTTTAAAAATTGATAATTGCAAATTCACAATTGTTACGTTTTGTTGATACTCTGGGAGTAATGGAATACGAGTAGAATTAACCGAGATCGGTCGGGTGTAATAACCGGAAGAAGGTGGGTTAACGGGGCTGCTGAACTTTACAAATGTTTTAATCGTTTTGCATCATGTTGAAAAATGTTTGTCGCTGAGGGATAAACACCGGAGGGCCGTGGTCCAACTCTGGGGAAATACAGAACAAATATGATTGCATGATTGATTCGGACTAAGCCGCTCCGGAGGGAGGAGAAGCGTAGGATGAAAAATCAGCGGCATTTCCGCCGGGTGAGGGAGGAAGGGGTTGACAGTGATCTGAGAAAAGGGGCTTATATCCATCATACACATTCTCCACTAACTAAGGGGAATATTTAATCGATAGATTGGAAAAGGGGACGGGGGAGTAGAATCAAGAGAGAGTGAGGGGATCTGTCTAATTGTCAGTGAGGGTACACGTCGCAAAGACTGCGTGGATCCTTAATCATCTCCCACCCTCTTCTCCCAATAATCAATAATAATTCTGAAATAAAGAGAACATAGAGCTTTGCTTTTGTTGTTATTTATACAAGCATTTGATACACACCGCTTGATTGAGCTTGAAATTAATTCCAGATCTCGCAGTTATTGGAAGATGTGCAGAGGCTGCAAAACAGCATAGGGAAATTGCAAGAAAATTCAGCCAATCAAATTGCGAGACTTGAAGAGGAGTTGGAGCATAAACGGCAGCATATATGCCGGCTAGAGGCGAGATTAGAGGCTCAGAAGGATTATAACGAACTGAAAAGGCAACTTAGGTAGACGAATATGTTTTTCTTTTAAATTTCAACAATTGTTCAGTAGAATTCTAACCGAGTGATGTGACCGATCTCTAGTGGTCTAAGGCCTCCTGAGGAGACTTCGGCCAAGGCGGAGGAGCCCGAGAAAGCTAAATCTACGACGGATAATTCTGTTCCTAAGCCTGCTAGTACGCCATCTGAATCTCAAGGTAAACTATATTAAATGTTTTCTTATAAACGAAAAGCATAAAAATAATTGATTTAAATACGATTAGGCGAAGTTCCTACCCTCCATAATGTAGAAACATTCGGCTCATTTTTGGGCGAAGAAATTGTAGCGAACTGGAGAAGGTCTTTGGAAAGAACTATGGTGTCTCAAGCCACGAGGCCGACACCGCCTCCAAATTCTTGGCCATCTCAATTCGATGGTATTATTATTAATCACAGCTTTCATCTTTCTTAACAAAGATTGCACTTTTCATTGCTTTGATTCCTTGTTAACGACATATAATCGTAATGAGTCCATTTTTTTTTTTATAGGTAAAGTGAAGACTGAAGAAAACAGGGAACGGGAAAACGACAAAGGAGTTTCCCCAGCAAGAGAATTACCACTGGTGAACGGTACTTCCAGTCCCGGTAATCACGAGCAAGAAGTTCCCCACAATAACAACAACAATAATAACAACAACAATAACAACAACAACAACAACAATAACAACAACAATCCAATGTTGCCGAACGGTCTGTGCGGTTTGAACATCGGATTAAACAATAATGTCCTGAGTGGTGGAACGCCCCTGAATTTGAACGATGTGATAAAAAGTCCTTTCCGTTTTGATGAGAGGTCGCCGTTCAGATTCAGCGAAGACCCAAGCTGCATGGTCGGCAGGTTCGGCGAATCCCTAATACCCAAAGGCGATCCGATGGAGGCCAGGCTTCAGGAAATGCTCAGGTCCGAAAATTATTTGACTCACTTAAAAAATAACAATAAAACGATACGGACACACAATTGGTTTACAATACAGTTTACGTTATTTTGAACAGGTACAACATGGATAAGTACGCTAACCAGAACCTGGATACACTTCACATCGCACGACGGGTTCGAGAACTACTCTCGATACATAACGTCGGCCAGCGTCTCTTTGCAAAGTACGTCTTAGGACTTTCTCAGGGGACGGTTTCCGAGCTTCTATCGAAGCCTAAGCCTTGGGACAAGTTGACGGAAAAAGGGCGAGACTCCTACCGGAAGATGCACGCTTGGGCGTGCGACGACAACGCCGTTCTCTTGCTCAAGTCGCTCATCCCGAAAAAAGGTGATTATCTTGAAAACAAATACTACTGAACGAACTCTTTTTATCTGTTTCAAAACTTTATACACGGGAGGCACAGAAATATAAAAAAATTTGTCTCGTCACCCCACGGTTCCTTCAACTTCCCCCAAGGAAAATCATGAATCCCCGTCAATGCGTTCATCGATTTCCTTAAAAACAAAATATAGATTGCGGAATGTCGGGGTTTGACGGGGGGCACTGTGTTATTAATGCTCTGAGGCCGAGTTCAAATAGCTCATTGGCACTTGTTGGCGCTAATGACTTCGTAAGTTTAGAATAACGAGATCCACTGCTTTGTCCCTCTCACACTCTCTCTCTCTCTTCCACTCCCGTCTACCACTCTTCATTTTCGTTAAAATTTCTTTTTAATTTGCCTATCTATTTCCCTTTCGATATTACCGTCGTTTTATTTTTCACCCCATTTAGTAATCTAATATCGGCCAAGTGTAGAAATTAACGTTTTACGTACAATAATTTATAATCTAACTATCCTCTTATGGTGTAGTATGATTAAAAACTTTTCTCAAAAGCAAAAACCAGGCAATAGTATTTTGTTGTTTATTTCAAACTGTACGTACTTTTATCGTTATAATAATTACAACATAGTTATTTTAATAAAAACCAAATTAAACGAGATCAGAAATTCACGGGTTTTAATAACAATAATTATTTGATTATGATGGTTTGAAAAACATCGGAAAATCATTTAGTGATAGATTAAAATTTAACTAACAATTTATTCTTTCACTAAATGATTGTCCAGTGTTTTGGTAAATTTGATTAAAAATAGTGAATTTCTGATCTCGTTTAATGTGGTTCATATTAATAAAATAAGCATGTTGTAATTAATATATCAATAAAATACAAACATATAGTTTGAAATGAACAACAAAATACGAGTGCCCCGTTTTTTTTTTGTTTTTGAGTGTATTTTAAGGGGTGTACTGCTCTCAAGGACATTATTAAAATTTAAATTTAGGCAAACAACAATAATGCTTGCTACAATTAAAAATTTGCGACAAAAAAGATTAATTTTAAGAATTTCTTGTTTATATGAACGTATAACTTATTTATTTCCTAGGTAAAGATGGTGGTGGTGGAATTGGTGTTTTGGCAAGAGGTTCTGAATCTGAGATGACAGAAGAAAGGATTGCACATATACTTAACGAAGCGAGTCATATGATGAAACCCCAAGCACCAGAGGATAGCCACAGCAATGACGATAGCAAATCACCCAACCACCCTCAGGTAATTCAATGCACAAATATCTTTATTGATTTCTGTTTAAATATTCTACGAACCTCAATTATAGATAAATTAAATTTAAAAAAGAAAATTAGTATTGAATATTAAACTTTTTTTGTAGAGTGCTGAATCGCCCCTTACGAGGGACAATTCGCAAAATCGGAGGTTGAAAAAGTATGAAAATGATGATATCTCTCATGAACAGGTGATGAGGATATACCAGGAAGAGCTAGCCAAACTGATGGGAAGAAGACTGGAAGACCAGCCATTTCCAGGGTAAATTTATAAAATGAATTTTCTGTTTTGTTATTTTGGAATTATTTTAATTTAATTTTGATCAATTTTTAAACAGAATGGTGTTCCCACATTTCTTAAGCGGTGGTAGTGGTGAAGATGTGAGAATCGCTATGGATGCTTACCACCGAGAACTTGCCAAACTAAGCAGCAATAGTGGTGGTCTCCAGCACCCCCTTGCCGCCCTCCATGCCCAGAGTTTGTCTGCAGCACATAACGGTATTGCTCAAGATTTGTCTTTGCCAAAACAAGTTAAACGAGAAAAAAGCAATAATGAGGACGACAAAAAGGAAGATGATAGGCATGGTGGAAGTGCATTTTCTCTAGTGAGACCTAAAGTGGAACCCGGTAAATATCACCTCTCTATCATGTTTCTCTTTCAGTTCCCATTGTTAATTGAGATCAGAATGACTTAAAATAAAATAAAGTTAAACTGTGAAAATGATACTAATTGTCTGTTAACAGGCTCGCCACTGGGGAACGTGATCCTACCTCCTGAAGATATGGGAGGAGGCTCTGGTACAGCAGCTGTGAGTCCACTGCAAAGGATGGCATCCATCACAAATGCGCTTATCTCACAACCACCATCACAACACCACCATTCCCCATCTCAAAGGCCCCTGAAGGCTGTTTTACCACCTATCACGCAACAACAGTTCGATCAATTCAATAATCTCAATACAGAAGAAATTGTGAGAAAGGTTTGTTGTTATTGATACAATAAGAAACTTCTTAGGATGTCTAATAGCATTTTTTAATTTTAATTTGCGACTTTTTTAGGTCAAAGAGCAACTAAGTCAATTTTCAATAAGCCAAAGGCTATTTGGTGAATCTGTTCTTGGTTTATCACAAGGGAGTGTTTCTGATTTACTAGCCAGGCCCAAACCATGGCACATGTTAACTCAGAAAGGAAGAGAGCCTTTTATCAGAATGAAAATGTTTCTCGAAGATGAAAATGCTGTCCATAAATTAGTTGCTTCACAATACAAAATTGCTCCGGAAAAATTGATGAGGACTGGAGGTTATGGTGTCAATGCCAGTAAGTTCATTTATTCTATTTCTCCATTGTGCAATTTCATAATCACAATGTTTATTCTAGCTGGTGGGCCACATTCAAAAGCTATTGCCGGAACATGTGGGAAATTTGGAACCAACGATGCATTTTTACACAATCCCACTATGCATATTCCTCATAGTGCACCAGCACCACCGCCAGTACCTGCGATCACACCTCCTGATATGAAGAAATGTACGATTCCTCCACAGCAGTGTCATACTCCAATGCAACAATACCCTGGCATCAAAAACCTCCATCATGTATCTCCTTCTGTATATGAAATGGCAGCACTAACACAGGACTTGGATACCCAGTCAATAACAACAAAAATCAAGGAAGCTTTGTTAGCCAATAACATAGGACAGAAGGTATGTATGATCATAACCAATAAACATATATGTAGACATTCATGTATACTTGATAAACCTCTAATTCCCTGAAAGTATTGCTTGTTTTAATTCGGTAAACATATTTCAGATATTTGGAGAAGCAGTATTAGGTTTGTCACAAGGTTCTGTTAGTGAACTCCTTTCCAAACCTAAACCCTGGCATATGCTGAGTATCAAAGGAAGGGAACCTTTCATCAGGATGCAGCTGTGGCTTTCTGACTCAAACAACATTGATAAACTTCAAGCTTTAAAGTCTGAGAGGAGGGAACTCAACAAGAGACGAAGAGGATCAGGTCAGCAAGACAATAGTAGTGACACTTCATCCAATGATACTTCTGAGTTCTACCACAGCAGTGCAGGAAGTCCACCATCGGCGAAAAAGCATAGAGTATTCTTTTCCGAAGAACAGAAGGAAGCGTTGAGGCTCGCTTTTGCTTTAGATCCATATCCCAGTTTAGCTACAATAGAATTTCTAGCGAATGAACTAAGCCTTGTGTCCCGCACAATTACCAATTGGTTTCATAACCATAGAATGAGACTGAAGCAGAGTCCTCAGGGAGAGACACTGAACAGAGAGGGGCAAGGCTCTGGTTTTGATCCTGTACAGTTTAGAATATTATTAAGCCAAAGGTTAGGACTTCCTTTGCCATTCGCTGGCCCATTTTTCCATTCAAACAGTGAAATGTCAAATATGATATCTAGGACTGATCTACCTTTGAGGGAACAAGGCTTAGATCTCTCGATTAAACATGAGTATGAAGGTGAAGACAACGAAAGCCATGTAGACTCTGAGGATTCGTTTTCTGGTGTTCCAGAAACAAGAGTTCCAGAACCAAGGATCTCAAGAAGAAAACCTGCAGCACCCCAATGGGTCAACCCAGACTGGCAACAAGAGCCGGAAGTGATTATTAATGGTGTGTGTGTGATGCAAACTGAAGACTATGATAGGGAAGGTCGTGAAGAAACAGTCAGAGTAGAACCTGTGCCAGTACCTGAAGAAAGGAGTGCTACGCCTGAAAGCACGCCTCAACCACCTCTGGAAGAGCCCAAATCTTCCCTTGCTGTGAAGCAAGAACTAAAGGAGGAAAAATGGGAAAATCAATACTAATATTAGATTGAGATTTAAACAAAAATGTTTAGAATTTTCTGATTCTGATGTTCATGATTCCTTTATCAAATAATAAATTTCTGTTAAGTTTGGGTCTTTATAAAATTCTTATGATTAAAGTAGTTATGTTGCAATGATGATTAGGTCTTAAGGAGGTTTTGTTTATATTGAAAAAGAAATCATGAACAAAATATTAAACGGGTAGTGTTTGTTTGATGAAATAAATGTTTATATATAAAAGTAAAACATTAATTACTTCAGTTTATAAGTTAATATCCTATTTGTTAGGAGTCATTAGGAACACACAGGAACATTTTTGTACATACTAATTGGTGTGTTATACCAGTGCTATGATCTCAGTGGTGTGTGTTGAACTATATTGGTGATGTGATAAATTAAAAAAATAAATAATCCAGTATTGGATCGAATCCCATCTTATGGTAGCAAATGGAAAATAAAACAAACTTATTGTGTGAACATGTGCAATCAACGAATTCTTAAATATTTAGTTCTATATCTGATTATGTAAGTATATAATGATAATTACTGTAGCTGTCTTTCTTGTAAGACAAGGGGCATTTTTGTTTTGTTTATATGTTTATGTAAATAAAGTAACGGTAGTTTATGTAATGTAAAGTGTACCAGTTAGGTTGTCAAATGAACAGCCAGGTTTACACAAATAGTATGGTTGTGAGATATTAAGTTGATGTTGTTGAAATAATCAAAGATGAAATAAGACTGGTTAAACTGTTAAATACACAGATCAAATAGTTTTGTGAACATGGTTAGAGATGAAGAAATAGTTAATTTAGTTATATATTTGTTTCTTTAATTTAATTTTATTTTGACTTTTCTGTTGTTTTTCTTTTTTAATTTTAATTTTTTTCCATTGAACCTGTCTTCATTGTGATACACATAATACTTAGTAATTATGTTTATTTGGGAATGTGTGATTTTGATTTTGAATCCGAGCTAACTGTAAATTATGAAAATATAATAATTTTGAGACTTAATGTCCAAATTTCAGACAAACTTAAAGTGTCTATAAATTAATGCACAATATTCTCCAAAACTAGCTTTTGCAAGTACTGTATGTAACGTTTGAATGTTTAAAAAAATTAGTTTTATCCCCATCATTTTACATACATATTTTATAAGTATGTGAGTGTTGTATGTTTTTCTACTTAAAAAGTTATCAGCTTTTGAAATATATTAGACCACTGATTGATCTATCGAATAATTTGAATTTCAAATGCGTTACCGAATTGAGAATGGCGCAAAACAACTTTTATTATTGTACACATGAAAATAATGTGGAATCATATCACACAATATACCTCAAAAATTGTAAAGTTGTTTGAATGTAGAAGTTTGAAAATTTGAAGATGTAATATATATATGATAATTATTTAACTACTTGTCATAAAAAACATTACATGGGCATTATTTGTTCCCAATAGATAAATTTGAGAAGCTATGTATCTATCATACCTAATTATGGTACAAGGACTCCCATTAGATAATAAACATCAATTGTAGAACATATTGATTTTGAAAAATATTGACATGTTTGTTATAAAAAGTAGCAGTTATTTTATTTGTTACATTGTAAAAAGCATTAAATTTATTAAACATAAATTATTATAACTTATGAACATTAAAGTTATTATTTAAAGAAGAACTGTGTTAAATTATTTAATTATCTATTTTAAAAAATCCCCCTTCTCTTACCATTTTAAACTTCTTTAATGTTTTGAAACATATTCAAGAGCAAACAAATTTAAAACCTAGAGTTGCTGAAGGTAAATGAGAGTCTTTGTACCTATGATCAGTCCCAATGATTTATTTTTTCTTTCCTTTTTCTTAATCTATTTTATTGGGTTCTAAAAGATTCATTTTGTTGTGTGTGAATGTTATATGCTTTAAAGCATACAATTTTGATTGAACACAAGGAGAGCACGAATTTTTTGTATGTGCCCAGAAAAGACATAGTGTGGCTGGCATAGGAAACAAAAATTAGATGTTAATTTTGACGCTATATTCTAACGAGTCATATTTGTATGTTATAATTTTAGAATGAACTTTTTTTGCTCTTATTAAGTTTATATAATATACTATGTAAATATTTTTATAAATACTGAAAATGTGTATACTATGAGTATATCCATTTTCATTGTATGCTGTACATTGTGATGCCGCTTATGTTAATAGGCTTTAGAAAATTACCACTTCTGTACATATAGGTGTACAATTGATGATATCAATTTATTTATATAAATAGGAAACGTATCATTTACATTCAGCAACAATTGTTAAGAAAATTTGTTTTCATAATAACAATTTATTTCTACTTCTAGTCTTCCCTTAATTATAGTCCTGAATAAAAAGTTTTGTATAATTGTAAGTTCGAAGACATTTATTAAGACTCGTTAATTAGTAATACCCCTCTTTGAGCAATTAGCTGGCCTATACTCGATCTTCCATTAAGTTAAAACAAGTGTACATTTTTTGTAATTTGTTGTATATTGTTATTAATAACTTACCTTTTTTATTTGATTATTTTTTAAATGTTGATCTTATTTATAAATTATTATTGTTTGGAAAAAAAATTGTTTATATCTAAAAAAAAGTTATTTTTCAGTCTCCAAATTGGAGAGACATATATCAAGACAAATGATAAACCGATATATGATTTAATATACTTTGAATACAAGATGAAATTATTATAAATAAATAACATCTAGAATATGCCTAGAAGAGAAATTAAATGTCTACTCTGTAAGTCAAACCACCTGCCAGACATATATTTTTTATAATTAGAATCACTAAGGCAGGTTTAAAAGAAATGTTTAATAAGTACTGTTCAATTTGCCAAAATCCAATACAAATTCCAAAGCTATTTATTATATTGTTGATTTTTTATTTTAATACTATTAAACACATAGTTATTATAACACAAGAAAACATTCACAATATAAACAAGTTATTATATTTATAAATCTCTAATTGTTCACTTATCACTATTCTTTGTATTCTATTTCTAAAAAAAAAATATTGTACAGGTTAAGTTTTAGTCACACATCATTCGTGTAGATGTAAATAAGTACATTAAAAAAATTTCATTATAGTATTGTATTTATTATCATTCATAAGCATCATCACCATATTTTTATTATCAACAACAAATCAAGATTATTGTATTCAGACATTGTCATAATTAATATTATTATATCATTATTAAGACATAGTTCTTATTTCTAAAGTATGTTTATGATGTTAAAATGAATTCATCTTGCCAATACCAATAAAATTATTTAATGAATGTCTATTTCCGTGATATTTAAAGTGTCAGTTAATAAAATATTTAAATACATAAATCATTTACCATTTAATTCTTTCAACCCAGAAGTTAGTACTAATATTTTATCCAAGTAAAACAACTTAGTTTTTGATTTAAATAATACATGCCTTAAGAGAAGGTGGGTAAATGATCACACATTATGTATTACATAGTCACATCAAAAAGTTTGAGTGTGTAAAAATGCATGCATTTAGGCTAAAGCAAATGCATTGCAGAGAACAAACATTGATTGTGTTGATAATACACAATTACTTAACTGTTATAAAGGAACCTTGATGTGTGCAAGGCATTTAACATTGAAATACTGATGAAACTAGTCAAAAATCACAATATACTATATATAACTTTCTGTATAGGAAGCTAGTTGAGGAAGATCTTATTTTTAGGAATTTAATCAGTTCATCATCTTATTTTTTGATGTCTTTAACTTTAGTTTCCCGCTTTCATCAGATCAGGATAGGCTGCCACGTGAAGCAAGTTAAAGTAAGTATATCTGTGGTGGCACACCTTCAGATATTTTGACTCCGAAGAAAATAAAGTTACATGCAAGGAGAAGTATCTACTCACAGGAAAAGAAATTATGAATCCATTAAATGTAACTGAGGAGCCATTATCAAGGCTATTAATGCTAATAGAAAAGCATAAAATGGGCTACAGATATATCTACTCTGAAGCTAGACAGTGAGCCCATACAAGGAGGAGCCCATTAGTCCTATTTTGATGGGCACAGTGCAATAAGCATTAAAGTCACCATACAAGCCTAAGACCCAAGAATATGAGCAAACATTTTGCTGTGGATGCCCGCTGAGGAGTATTTATTTTTAGGAATTAACCAGTTGAATCCTGTTTTTTCCTTTTTTTATGTCGTTAATGAGCATTGCTAATTTCATCAGATTAGGATTGGTATATGGAGCAAGATAAAGTAAGTATTACTTTGGCGGCTCTTCTTCATTTATTCTGTGAATTGCCTAGTGTGAAGACCTGTCAAAGAAGAAGTTTCTACACACAGGCAAAGAAAAGAAGAAAGGAGCTACTTTCAAAGCCATGGATGATATTGAAAAACATGAAACTAGATATTGAACTATTACTCATACGAGGAGGAGCACAGCAGTCCGACACCCATCCCTCAATTTGCACACAAAATATTGCCCTTGTCTGCTGTGGCGTTGTGCAGAAGTGAAAAGTGGGACTATTGGTGTTGAGAGGACGATGTTATTATACTGTTTAGATTATAATTTATATTTTTTAATTTTAACCCAGACATGTCTAACCAGCTCAGATAAAAGAAAAGAAGGTCGATGTAGTTGGACATGAAAATAAAAATTTTCAATTGACTTGAAGAAGGAGAAAACCCGACAGCGTTTGCTAAGATATATAGAATAAATGAATTCTCTGTCTGAACATTCAGGAAAAGTAAGGAAAATATTAGGAGTAGTGTGGCCTCAGGAACTTAATCAAGTTTACAGTGTTCACCACCGAACACAAGATACCCTAAAATAGAAAATATAGAGAAAGCGCTGGTGATTTGGATTGAAGACAACATACAAAAAAATTCCCTTGAATAGTTTAATGATAAGAGAAAAGGCTGTACTTATTTTTACCATGTTAAAATAATGAACTTCAACAATTGATAAAACATAATAGGTAATTTTTCTGCAAGTAAAGGGTAGTTCCAAAAGTCCAAAAAAGATCTTAAATTCAAAGGTGAAGTTGCTTCTAACAAATTTGCAGCTGAAGAATTTTCTCTAAAATTTACAAAAATATTTGAAGAAAACGGATATGATCCGGATCAGGTTTTTAATACCGATAAGACAGCACTTTTCTGGAAAATCCCCAACAGAACTCACAAAATGCAAGTAGTGTTAGTGGTTTTACTGTGAACAAAGATTGGGTAATATTGCTACTTTGCTGTAACACACCTGGGGCCCCTTGATGAAGCCACTGCTTATAAATTGAGTAATAAAATAGACAAACTTAAATTATCTTCCCATACATTCAGTGACAATTAAAAAGGCATGGATGACTGGTGCATTTTTTCATAATTGGTTTTACAGCTGTTTTGTTGCAGAAGCAGAAAATTACATGAAGGAAAAGTCTTTGTTTTAATATACTTCTAATATTAGAAAAATAAATTTCTTTCCACTGCAAAACGTTTGCTGAATTGTTAGGTCTTATTTCTGTGTGGTAGCTATAGAACTTTGTGGAACTGTGCTCATCAAAATATACCCGTCCCGCAATTTTCGCAAATATCCATTCCATGTGGGTTTGTACAGGAATAAAAATTGGGTAAATTGAGTTTGTCAGAAAAAGGAACAATATTGAGTATAAAAATTTTATAAATATGTACATGTGTATGTATTTATTTCACATAACTTAACAAAAATACAATTAAGACTTTTCAGAAATCAGAAGCATGTAAGTTTTATTTGATGTCACTATCACTACTGTAATTTTCTTTTTAACTGGCATAAACTCTTGGCATAACTGGAATTGGAATGTGTAGCAAGCTGAGGAGAGCACTTTGGTTGCTTTACTTTAGATATTTTGTCTTTGAGGAAAACACTAGTGTGAAGTCCTGACAAGGGAAAAGGTTCTACTGACAGGAAAAGAAATGCTGACTCCACTAAATTGAACTGAGGAGCCACTATGAAGGCATGAAGCCTTGGTACCATCCCTTATATCATTTATGCTGCTGACCTGCCTGTACACCCTAATACCACCATCACCTCCTTGCCTCTTAACCCCTCATTTTGATTGCCAGCATTGGCTGGTTTCTCATTGCATTGGGTGCAACGCTGGTGTTAGCGCTGTGGCCATGTGAAAAAATTGTTTTGTGGTCACATTTGTAATGATAATAAGTATATGGTACTTTAGAGACTGGCTCAGGGCCCGTGTTATTTTGAAGTGTAGAGACAATGGATATAGCCAAGACCATGTATGCTGTTGGTAGTGGTCCGTGACCAAGAGAACATTGGAGATAGCTGCAGAGTGGAGGGCGAGACCATTCCAGAACTTAGTGTGACACCTAGTGAGTACCGTGACAACTGCAGGTGGCCACCAGAGTACAAATGAAAAAAACGTTTGCAAAAGAGTGTCGAGTATTTGCACGTTTTTTTCTTATCTGCTGCTTCATTCATGGAAACAATGACCTACCTAGTTAATTGAAAGAATCTGTTGTCAGTTTTCACTCTCTACTTTCTGAGATATTGAGTTGAGGTTTGTGATACATTGGGTAAAATAACAAAATTACCCT